AAATTCGCTACTTTGCGCTCAGCAAAGGTTGCGAGTGTGAAGTAATGTTTTTCACATAAATTAGCGCATGAATTTGCTGCGATATTAAATGTGCTTCAAATCGTTAGGTCACCGACGATTAGTCAAATTTTCCTAAAAAATAAATCTGGATGTCTGTGCTTCTAACCAAGTACCCGGACCGAAACGAAATAACTGTTCCGTTCCGGTTTCGGTCCAAGGCAAAATTTAAAATTTCGGTTTCGTTACGGTTCCGGTTTAGAAAATAATTTCCAATTCGGTTCCGTTCCGGTTCCGGTTTTTTTTTTGGTTCATTTCGGTTCCAAAATCTATATATAACAACGAACGAGGACAAATATACTCTAATTAGGAATCTCACTATCTTTTTCTTTGTTTGTTGTATTATACAACATAAAAGATGCGCAAACTATCCACTGCTTCATACGGTACTTCGGCTGGTTGTATAGTAGGGGGTAGAAGTGTAGGAGGACTAGCAACCCCACACAAGGATTGAAATTCAGGTTACATTAAATGGAACAACATTGCAATGAAGACTCTTATACAAAAATTAATTTAATCGTATTTTTGAAAAATAATTTGTCAATAAATTTTCTGACTTTAGCGCTTTTCTCTTTTCGTTTTCACTCAGGTCCACAACTTCGTCAATTCCTCTTCTTTCACTCTTATTTCTGTTTAGACATTGTTCTTCCTGGTTCATGTCTTCGCCATCTTTTGAGGAGTTGTTTTTGTCCAACATTTCAATTTCAAATGTTTCTTTGTTGGTGATCGAAAAACTAAAATAATTCAACTTAAAAAATAGTGCATAAACGCACGGTGTTTGTTCTTTTCGATTAAAAAGGTTTGTCCTCACAAATAATTGTTCCTCTAAATTTTTTCTTTAATATTTGACCTCGAAGGCGGCAACAAAAAGTTGAGTCCTGAGAATAACCTCTCAACACTAACTTGAGTTGCCGGTACGCTTAATAATAATTGTACAAGCATATATAACTCGGGATTAAGCTCTTTCTTTTTCTTCCAGCAATCAAAAAATATCACAGCAAGGGTTATTTTTCATTTGCTTGTATGTACAGTAATTTCTTGTAGTAAGAAATTACTGATTATTTTCAAACGTTACAAGCAGAACCGAAGAAACACTGAAAAAACCGAAATAAAATATTTCGGTTCCGGTTCAGCACCTAACAGTGTGTTAATATCAAATATGGGTTCCGTTACAGTTCCGGTCCAAAAAAAACGGTTCCGTTCCGGTTTTGGGTTCATATCGGTTCGGGTCCGGGTCCCTGCTTCTAACTACTATCAACCGTGAGCCACTTTGAGTTTATATCTAGTTTCAGTTTTTGCACTCTGTTACTTTAAGTTTTAAGTTTACTTGGATCTCTTGGCTTTTGACCCCCTCAATTGACGCAGCAGTAATTTTAGCAATATTGTGATTTAAAAAATTACAGTTTTGTCTTATTAAAAAGAAGTAATTCTTGACTATTTTGTGTAAGTAATATGGTTTAGTGTTTTGTACTTGTGATTATTGTCTTAGGATATTCCATCTGCCAGAGACTATTTCCAAAGAAAAACGAAATTTGTCACTGAGCAAATGGAAAAAATTCAATACTTGGGATTGGAAAAGAGCCAGCTTAGGGATGCTATTGTAGAAATAATCCAAATGAAATTGAATCAACAGCAGCAGCAGCAGCAGCAGCACGCTTAGCGAAATACACAGTTCAACCCTTCATTATTGCATTATTGCACTAGAGATTGATTACTTGCTGTTGAAATACATGCTATTAAAATTTGATTTTATATCAAAATTTCCCAGTTTGTGTGCATTATCTCTTAATTTTTTTGTAAATAAGACCGTTACAGTTGATAGCGTCCTATTCTTAATTTAACATGGAGTTGTGCATTTCATTCTCGTAGATACTAATTAAAAGACATTTTCAATTTTTAACAAATTTTTTATTTAATAGTATATTTGTATATTGATAGCTGACTTCAGCTCACGTCGAAATTTCAACATTATTGCTTATAAGTTCTCTTAAAGCATTAGGAACTAATATTTTCACTTATTGTTCTTGTATTATAAGACCATTAAGCAGTTGATTTCTGTAGCGTTTGATATTTGGAAATTGCTTCTTGTACTAGGGCGGCTAGTGATGCCAATTTGTCTGGTCTCATGAATGCTCTGATTGCGCCGTTGTCCGTATCCTAATGAAATTGACATAAAGGTAACACCTAAAATCACTCAACCAAATATCCTCACCTTTTGAGACTTGAGTCCATTGTATTTGACGGTGCAAATCGAGGTGAAATAACAAATTACAGTAGTGATTATTCCTCCTATTGTCAGAACTCCAGCTCCTTTTATTAAAAAGTAAGATATGTTTCCAATTATTTGTATTCCCGCTTTAAGAGTCGTCTGAAAAAAATGCATGTAATTATTTTTTTTTGTAAATTTTTTATTTTCCATGTATAAATTACGCCTCTATCCTGGTTTAAAAAAATACTTATAGAACTTATAGAATGCTAACGTTCTGTGGAATTATTTGTTCAACTCAAAAAATTAAATACTACTGATAAAAACCGTCATTAACAATCTATAACCCCTATTGGAATTGCTCACATAATAATAACTGACATACAATAATACCGATAGTATTCGACAATAATGACTAATTAAATATTTGGCGCTGCAAGATTTTTTTTTATTGTTAAAATCTTGTACGGATTTGAAAAAATACCTCATCTTTTAAGGTTTTACCAAAAAACTTGCAAACAAATTAACTTTTAGAAGATGTGTGAGTGAACTACATTCAAACCAAGTAACGTTAATACGAATAAGCACTTATTATAAGCGTTAATTACTATTTTAGTCGGCGCATATAATTTGGCCGCGGTATTTTTCTCTATTTACTTAAAGGCCGTTATTCACTTTATTCAGTTGTATAGGCTAAGTATACAATTGTAAAAGGAAAGTTTTGTCAACCAGTAGCAGTCACTTTCGCTTCTGGCACAATTTAAAATTTTGTTCTCCAAATTCCTCAGAGGGTTTAAATTTTTAAGGTGTTTTTATCAAGGTTTTTTTCAATCGCAGAAGGCAAATGACAAGAGGAGGTCCCAATATCATTCACGGAAGAACTAAAGAACAAAGCAAAAAAGCTTAAAAATAGAAAAGCACCGTGTGTGGACAGTATACCCAACAAACTTTTAAAGTATGGCGGTAATGAACTCACAAAAAACTAACGCAACTCTTCAATGGAATATTAAGCTCACAAACAATCCCCGACGATTGGCACAAGAGCTTCACCATACCCATCTTCAAAAAGAACAAAAAACCAACCCAAAAAACTACAGGGGTATAACTCTTCTATGCTCCTCTATGCTATAGATGCCGCCAGCGATCGAAAATACAAATTTAGATAAATTAAATTCCGATGAAATTTCATTAACAAAATGCAGATCACAATGTTACGATAATGCTGCAGTGATGGCAGGTCACACATCTGACGTTCAACAAAGAATAATGGAAAAATGATAACGCTTTATTTGTAAATTGTGATAACCATTTATTGAATTTAGTAGGAGTTACTGCAGATAAACAAGATCCAAGCGTTGTGACATGTTATGGAATAATTGAAAACATCTCATAAAAATAAACTACCGAATCAATCGCCTACTTATTCGCGAGTTTACCGATGGTGGCACTGCGAAACGTCAAATTACTCGTTGTCGAGTGACAGTTGACACTTGTCAGACTTGTTTATTTATTGTAGTTGATGACATTTATAGCATAAAACAATACTTACACACTTCTCGATCTGTTTCTATTTTTTTAAACGCTTGCAAAAGTTGATTAAAACGAAAGAAGTCGCAATCAGATGTAAACACCAATGTCAACAAAACAAGTGTCAACTGCTTAAATTGTAGTTGCGTCTGGACTTTTTAACTCGCGAATAGATTTTACGGGTACATAATAATACAGGGTGATTCACGTAATCCGTTTGTTAGAAAAAAAAATTATTTCCCCAGATCTTATTAATATATGAAATTTGGTAGGCAAAGTCTCGGTTGTTGCAAGTCTAAATATAGTATTTTCGGGGGTAATTGCACAAGCGCTTCAAAATTACCGATAATTTTGCATGAAAGCTTGTCTAAAAACTGCATGAGTTTATTTTCATATTGTGGCAAAAAAGCTTTTTCGTTCCAATGTGAAAATAAACGAATGTAGTTTTTACTAGACAACAAGCTCGAATGCAAAATTATCTGTTTATTTTGATGCACGAGTGTAATTTTTTTGAATATTTCCTGAGTAAACAAAGTTAATGTGGATTCATTTTATTTCTATTATTATATTTTATTACACTTTTAATTTTATTACTTATATTAATATAATTTGAATATCTTAGGTATGCCAGGAAGACATTTTATGTCTAATTCAACATGAAAAGACACCTGTCAAATATTTTTTGTAAACAATGCAATAATCATTGAGTGATAATTGCACACTGTGCAATTACCGCTGTAATTTTTCGATAATTGCACACTTCAAACGGACAGATTATCATACGAAGGAAATATTCAAAATAACGGCACTTCCGGAATTATCGAAAATCGACGCCATCTTCTGTTTTTTAAATGGAAAGTTCTCATTTGGATTTCATATTTTGATTCAGCTTTAAATTGTAAGTTCAGAATCTTCATTTGTCAACACTTATATGTCATGTTTTTGCAAAAAAATAGGTTAGCAGAGGTTCATTAACAAATTCATATTTCCTGAACCATTGCTAATAAATAAATCGGCATTATTTAATTCAATTGCCAAAGGTTTGGCAGACATTCTGCATCGATTCTGACACTTTTGTTATGTTTTGTTTGTCTCGCTACTCCACTGTTGATAGTATGTAAAATAAACGGAAATTATGTTTCAAAAACGTTATGAAAAATAGCTCAGCAAATTTGCCTCATTATTCGTAACCGAAGTACCGAACTTTGGCTTTTGTATTACAAAGTATTCCAGCTGTTGTATTATTGTGGATAGTGTAGGTACTTGCTAATAAAAAAAGTCGTTTTTCGTTTCGTTTTCGTTCGTTTTTCGTTCGTTTTCAATTTGTCCTTGACTTGTAATAACTTGGCTTCAATAATATAACATCTTATACTTAGTAAATATTATTATTTGCCCTATCAGAAATTTGAAAAACTGTATAAATTGACTCAAAACTATTTTTTTGGAAACTTGGAAAAAGTGTGCAAATAGACCTACCAAAGTGCAATAGACCACCTGGAATCGCCATATTACTTAATCGTGATAATCATAAATAATATTCTTTGTAATGGTTTAGTAAAAAATAAATCGATGTGGCTTGATTTTGTCGCTATACTGTTTTAAAACTGCCATATTACTATCTAAATTATTTCTCAATGCCTTAGTCATGTTTGGATTTTCCTCTGTACAAATAACTGATTTTGACCCTGCTGACTCTGTTTTGAATTATTTTAATCTCTTGCCCATTGACAGACATACATATTCTCTTTAGTAAAACAATATACAATTCCTATCAATTCATCATATTTTAGTCGAAGCGCAGAAACATTTAACTCTAATCGAATGTTTTTTTTGCATGTTGCGTTCAGTTGGTTAATGCATTGTTCAACTAGTCATCATAGATAGGAAACACTCTGAAAACGCTCTATGAGTTTTATCATTCAAAGAGTAGAACTTGGATTACATTTAATCGTTTTAGCAGACGAACTTCTTGAGTAGGAGAACGTATTAAAGACAAGCGAAACTTTTGGAAGAATTACATTGAAAATACGAATCCCAAAACAAACAAGACCGGTGATATCAACACAGAAACTCAAAATTGAGCTGCTATGGGACCCTACGATAAAGTACCTATACAAAAATAGATTACAACAAAAAATCGAAGAAAACCCGATTTTAAATACTAACGAACGAACCTAAAAGTGAACCAAGTACTCAACCACAAGACACCGTGGTTCCGGCCAGAAGCTAAGGAACAGTGCAAATGAAAAAGACAAGCCTACCTAAAATATTGTACTATGCGGACGCCAGATTCATATATTGAATATAAGCAAGTTAGGAACAAAACTAAAGAATTAATGAGAAAAATAAAAACGATCACTGGGAAATGTTCGTTAAACGCCTGGAATGTTATTTCTGCGGGCTTAAAAAGCAGATATGGCGATTCATAAGATCGCACAGAACGGAGGTCAATCAACTGCTAGAACCAACCCACATAAAAAAGGAAGAGTGGATCAGATATTTAACCGATCTGTATAAAACGACAAACACGGCAGACGAGCCTACCACCCCAGAAATAACAATTAACGAAGATGCCACGATCAGTACATTCGACGTACGCACGAAAACGCACTACAGAAACTAAAAGCCCATTTACATGCTCAAGCCATCTGAACGATCTGGCTTGCGCAAGCCAGATCTGTGCAGATGAACTGCACGAAAATCTGGCTTTACACGTTCAGTTCGTTTCACACAGAATCGAAGGAAGACCACCCAAACGTGCATTGTTGCCAAGATGGAACATTTAGACGAAGAGTTAATTCTTGCAACTGCTGCAGTGTGTGTAATTAAAAAGAAGATGAACTTAAAAACTAAAAGGAAATGGTGTAAACCATGGTTGCTGAATAGGAATTTCTTGCCTCATATGAATTTAATAGCGGAATTACGCAATGATCCTGACGATTTTTGTAATTACTTACGTATGGACGAAGCCACATACCTGCATTTGCAAAACTTAATTACGCCAATGATTTCGAGACCAGACACCGTTATGAGACGTGCGATTACCCCCCACGAACGATTATCCGCGACACTCTGATTTTTGGCAACAGGAAGAAGCTACGAAGACTTAAAATTTTCCACCGCTATTATAAGACTTTAGACAAAGGTCTACATTCTTTTTCCCAATTAAAATTTATAGCTTTCTTTTTCTATTCCCCTGAACCATAAGGCTAATATAAGGCCACCCGTAATAGCATAGAAATTCCCGTGCATTTTTGGCAGTGAGTTACAGAAAATCTGCTTCTTGTATTTGATTCAAACTTGAAAAATTGGATAGATGCTATCCTCGAGCATGTCATAAAGTCATTTTGTCCTAAAACAGTAGTCCATAAATGTAAGCTTTTTTCAAATTACCTTTATACATGGTTGCAATTGTTTTTTCACATTTAAATTGACTTTCCGACAACCTCCAAAGCTTCTAGTTTGTAATGCTTCAATATTTTTTTAATTTGGACAAAAGATACGACCAGGATTCCATGCCAAAATAGGCCATTTTCGGGGACATTTTTTCGTCAAATTCTAGCTCGAATTTTTCGATTTTTCCCTTAATAAAAGTTAGGTCATATGGTCTTTGTTAGGTCATATGGTCTTTGTTA